AGTAGTTGATTGCCATTCTCTATAAATACAGAGTTTTACTTGACTTTTGAGATACATTTATATTGAATTTCTTTGGTTATACTTAATATCAAGCATTTGTACATTTAAGTGTTATAGTTATTGCATGGGGATACAGGGGGGGTAGTAACAGAATTGGGAGGGGGCAGAGCTTATCAGCCTTAAGTGTAAATCTCATCTACATACATGGTTCTAGATTTCATAGGGTACAGCTTCTGGGTCTTATTATATTCATCTCAATATATAAGATATAAGAATTTACATGGTTGGTAAGTGTCAAAGACCATAGAATTACACATGTGATCAAAAGTGGGCGTCGCCCTAATCATAGTATATGGTTCATTCTCTATAAATACAGAGTTTAACTTGACTTTTGAAGTACATTTACTTAAAAACATCTTTGATTTATACTTAATGTCATTTCTGGTAAGTTATATATATACATCTAATTGTAATAGTTATTGTCTGGGGTGGAGGATGGGGAGGGGAGAGTAACAGAATTGGAAATGGGCAGAGCTAATAAGCCTTAAATGTAAATCTCATTTATTTAGTTCTGGATTTCAAGGGGTGCATCTTCTGGTTCTTCTTCACATTCATCTCAATATATGGGATATTCCAATTTACATGATTGGTAAGTGTCAAAGACCATACAATTACATAAGTGATCAAAAGTGGGGGTTGCTCTATCTACAATAGTAGATAATTCATTCTCTATGAATATGGAGTTTAACTTGACTTTAAGATTTATTTGTTAAATTAAAACTTCTTTGATTACATTTAGTATTGTAATAGTTATTCCCTGTGGGGGGGGGGGCAAGGGGGGTAGTAGCAGAAATGGGAGGGGGCAGAGCCAATGGCCAGTCAGTCTTACTCTTAAGTATTAATATCATAGTCTGATCATTTTCATTCACCTCCCGATGTTAATATATTAACAATATCATGTGGGAGAATATACCACTACACTTGCAGATTTGAGAGTCATTCAGTTGAGTGTATTTTTATGGCGCTCCACCTTTGCCTTTTAAAAAGGTGCTATTGCCCCTTCTGCATGGCACTTCATCTGTGAATGTGTGAAGTGCTAGGAAGGCTGCATTTATGTCAGGGTCTATATTGGAGGAAATACCACTGACATCAGTCTTCATTTGTTTCCAACTCAAGTATCCAGCAGCACACTTTGCTGGGTATTTGCTTTTTGTTTTCATCATCATACAAGAACTAATTCTAATCTTTAGGGACTCGTGTTTTTCTACCTTAAATAGGGCAAGGTGTCCCTCCCCTCTTCCAGGTTCCTTTATAGAATTTTTGATGTAATTATCACATACAAAAACTAATCAATCTGCATTGTAGAATCTTGAAACAGTCTCCGCCAGATCCAGAAACAAAACTACCTTTCAAGTTGAATTATGATTTGGGATAGTTGGGGTTTGTTTTCCTTATGACTTGTATACATTTAGAAGTTTTCTTTTTCTTGCTGGGTTCTATTACAAATTTTGGTCCTTTCCCTTTGGCACTTGTGGGTACATTTTCATGCATAGGGATGCGTTTCTCTGTTCTTGCAAGAAGTCCAGTCAGTGTTCCTAGAGCCCAAGGCACAGGGCTCAATAGGAACTGCAGGAGACATTCTAGGCTAATTTTATGTTCTTAAGCAAGATCGAAGCTGTTCAAAGATGTTTCATTCAGAATGTATTTGTATAAGCTTGTTCTGAATACTTTTTTACTGTCACTGTTGCTGCTGTAGTTTGCTGCTATAGTTTTCAATTTCATGTTTTATTAGATCATGAAATCTTTTTTTCAACTAATCTCAGATGGTATCTCTTCATGCAATTTCCCCTTTTGACTAAAATTAGATGAGATCTGCGGCGACATCATTTGGCACAGATTTTCCTTATGATACACTGTAGAGATGACCTTCATCCTCAATGGTAAATGGATCAAGGAAGTCTTTGATTGCAGTTTTTGTCATCTTTATGTCTTTTTCTATACTTGCTATTTGTGCCTTTCCAAGGTCATTATGGGTGTCACACTCATCTCATCTCTAGATAATCTTCCTAAGTTGGTCTTATGAAGGACTGTCTGATTGTTGTAACCATCTCATCCATATAAAGCACTTATTGTCTGTATGGCCCATTTTGCAAATCCTCGTAGTGAACCACCAGATGGACTTGAATGGAAACTAAATGACTCCATATCTTTCCAGTGGGTATTGACTGATATTCTCATACAAGAGATTGGTGATATAGCAACACCAGATGAATCAGAAAACTCCAGAAGATGTACCCTATGAAATCCAGAATTAAAAAGATGAGATTTATACTTAAGGCAGATTAGATCTACACATTCTAATTCTGTTACTACTCACCCCGCCCCAATGTAAAAAACTATAATACTTACACAGATGTATTTACCAGAAATGCTTGACATAAATTATAATAACAGCAGTTCAGTATAACTATGAATGTATCTCAAAAGTCAAGTTCAATTTTGTATTTATACAAAGAACCAATCATCTACTATTGTTAGGGTGACACTCCTTTTGATCATTTATAAATATGTAATTGTATGGTGTTTGACAAATCCTGTAAATTGTAATATCCCATATATTGAGATGAATATGAAGAAGACCCAGACGATGTGCCCCATGAAATCCAGAACTATGCAGATGAGATTTATACTTAACCTTTAGTGTGCTGCCGGCGGACTCGTCCGCCGAGACTAAAATGTCTCTCACAACTGCCGGCGGACCCGTACGCCCGATTTCAAACTTTTAAAAACTTTACTTTTTCGCGCCATTCGTATTGTCCAATTAGATTGCCCGATTTATTCAGTGCCTAACATGACTTCCTGTTGACCTAGAATGGCGATATTTCGAAAAATAATTCTCAATTCAACAATTTAAACAGTGTTTTAGTCGTTTTTAGTGAACAAATCGTACAAAATGGCGGACAAATACGATCACAACGCAAATGTGGAGGAAATGGATTACGATTTCGAGCTCTTTAGGCTCTTGGAAGCCGATTATGGTCATCGAAAATAGAAACTAGAATATTTTCTGAATTGAAAATTGAACATTCGATCGCTGCAAATTCAGATTTGGATTCTGACCAGACGAAGGGGCGGAGCAGCGGATTCCGGAGGAGTATTCATGGTATATTTATGCCCAGTCGTGTTAATGTACGAAAAAAATTCACGAGAACATTTTTTTCATGAACCAGGCCACTGTATCTTCCCTTAGTGAAGATTTTATCCAGATTCATTCAGTAGTTATTGAGATATTAATTATTTAGTCCAGGCATATCATTTTTTTGCGCTTTTTGAAAAATAAGCCAGTTGCGTGGGATATATTTGCTGTAATAAGGCAGCATGGTAAAGGTTAAGGCTGATTACCTCTGCCCACTCCCTATTCTGTTACTACTCTCCCCCATCCTCCCCCAGGCAAGAACTATTACAATTAGATGTGCATTACTAACCAGAAATGCTTGTAATTAAGTATAATCAAAGAAGTTGTAATGTAAATGTATCTCAAAAGTCAACTTAGACTCTGTATTTATAGAGAATGAATCTATGATAAGGGCGACGCCCACTTTTGATCACTTGAGTAATTCTATGGTCTTTATACTTACCAATCATGCAGAATTATAATATCCTATATATTCAGATGAATGTGAAGAAGACCCAGAAGATGTACCCCATGAAATCCAGAACTATGTAGATGAGATTTATACTTAAGGGTGATTAGCTTTGCCCTCTTCCAATTCTGTTACCCCCCCCCCCAATGCAATAAGTATAACACTTACATGTACATTATTTACCAAAAAATGCTTCATATTTAGTATAACCAAAGAACATCATTATAAATGTATCTCAAAAGTCAAGTAAAACTCTGTATTTTTAGAGAATGGCAATCATCTACTATGATAAGGGCGACGCCCACTTTTGATCACTTATGTAATTGTATGGTCTTTGACACTCCCCAGTTATGTTAATTGCAATATCCTTTATATTTAAATAAATGTTTGAACTGCCCTGGTAATTTTGAAAATGCTAAAATATTCTGATATCTGTTGATTTGAAAAATAATCCACATTCTATATTATGTACAGGTACAGGTTTTACCAAAATTAAGGATTTTCTCAGCAAAAATTGTGGTTTCCATGGCAACCACGAGTGACAGACCATTGAAACTTTGCATACTACCTTAAAATGATCTCATCAACTCTCGATAAAATTATTATGATGATTGAAGACCAACTGAATGAATTATTCAATGATGATAATGTACCCCCTGTAATTTTCCTTTTTAGGGTCAAAAACCCAATTTTGACAACTTTCGCCCCGGATACGGCGCATCAGACAAAAATTTTCTGAAGTATCACATAAAAATACATAAGAAACAAGTAATTTTAATTTGTTCAGAAGCGGGTACATTTTTCGGTGCTACCTCACTAACTAAATTATAAGTTAAAGTATGAAACGAATGACCAATATCAGTGTAATATTGGCAATATTAATGCCGATCGTCAGTGTAAGAAAAGCGAGAGACTAAATATGTGAATTGTGTCTTTGTTAACATATAAAACCTAAAACCATTGACACATTCTCAAACTAGACTATCTTCCTTAACTTCGAGCCAAATTATTATCCACAACGTGACTTATAAGTAGGTGTAAATCGGGAAATAAAAAAATCTTACCGAAACCAAGTCCCAGAGGAAGTTCCGCCATGATACACCGACGATACGTCTGTGTAATTAGGTGGGTAGCAGTGTATGTGGTGGGGACATAATAAAAAGTTTAAATGTTACAAATGGTTTGCATTTGAACGCTATATTACATACGAAATCTGGAGATTTTTGACTAATATCCTTCGTTATGTAACAACCTGTATTTTTATTTAGAAGTACAAGTTTATGTACAAGTTGACCAGATAACTTATATCAAAAGCTCTCTATGAATATGTTTTCTTTTGATGAATAATAAACTCACCTATTAGTACAGCTCCTAATGTTTCAAATATTGTAGCTAGAATACATGCTGTCCTTAGGGTAAGAACCCCCGACCCAACAGAGGTTCCAAACGAGTTAGCTACATCATTAGCACCAAGTCCAAATGCTAGCACAAAGGCTACAATAAATCCAACTATTACCATCCATAGGTACTCATTTGGTATTACAATCTCAACCATTGTAGGTTTTACAGTCAAGATGATCTGTATATTTCTATGTTGAGTTCTATTGATTATTTAGTTGCAAGAACAAGTAAAAGTTCATATCGTTTTGGCTGTTATCTCACAAATATATACTTTGTTAAATAACCATCACATAAAAATGTTTGTTTATTATCAAGATTATATTCAGCTGTTGTTGATAAACAAATGTTTTGACAAAATTCCTCCTCACAAACGAATATGCCCTTGAACCAGAACAATCAATAGCACTAATGGAAGCACTGTCGGAAGCACTGATGATTGGATTCTGCTTTCTAATACTGCTGGTTTGTTTTCTTATGTTGAGAGAACCAACAACATCTGTTTAAGAGATGACAACCTCAGTTTTTGTTTGAGGATCAATTCGGTGTCTTATGTAGGTATACTGCAGTATAGTAATTAAATCTTGTGAATTCCTGACCACTTTCAGCAGAAAAACCTGGAAAAAAAAGTTGAACTCTTAGCTACATTTTATTAGGTTGGGACTGGGGTAGGGCAAAATCAGTACAAAACAACAACAACGACAACACCAAAGCGTAGCGAATCCCATCGAACAGAAATAGCTGGCATTTTTACAAACGAAGCGCAAATATCATAAAACAACACACCAGAAAGGCCACCATTTTTAAAATGGTTGCTCACTAGCCAAGTTGTCATCAGAAGAAATAATATGCTTTTAATTAACCACCTCTACAATTTTTGGAAAATCGCACACATACTTGTAAAATAACCAGGCCTGTCAACTGTCCCGCAATTTGCGTATTTGTCACGCATTTGCTGAAGAATTTGAAGTCACGCCAGTTATTTTTGCGTGACAGAAAATGTCACGCAAATACGCATTTTACCTGGTAATTGTCAAGCAAAAATATTTATGTTGAAAAATTTCTAAAAAAGATCGTCTACACAGCAAAAATACGAACGCCGGAAAAAAAAGTACGCATTACGTTCGGACTTTTCACGCGAATTACGTATATGTCACACATTCCGTTCGAAATTTTTCGTACCTACCCCCCCCCCCCCCCCCCGCAGATGGATGTTTGAAACGCGAGCGTAGCGAGCGCGAAAAATTTGAGGTGTTCAAAATGTGGCAAGATGTAACTAGAAAAACAGCAACTCCACGGAGTAGCAAATCCCACCGAACAAAACAATACTGGTATTTGAATTATCAAAATTATGTTTTTATGAATCATGGTTGCCATTTTGAAATTCAGCTGTCATCTTTAAATTTCTTCCTTAGCAGAGCTCCTATGTCCCAAGGCATCAGCACATTCAATTTAATCAAAATCCGTCAACTGGTACTTGGGTTATCAAGGATTACATGTTTAATGAAAAATGGCTAAGGTTTCAATAAATAGCAGCCACCTTGAAAATTTCTTCTCAAGCAGAACTCCTTTATCTCTAGGCATCAGAATATAAAATTTGAAGTAAATCCGTCCAATGGTATTTGAGTTATCAAAGATTAACTTTTTCTATGAAAAATGCCAGCCATTTTGAAATTCAGCTGATGCCTTTGAAATTTCTTCTGAAGCAGATCTCCTTTTCCCCTAAATATCAGCATATAAAATTGGAACCAAATCCATCCACTGGTATTTCAGTTATTAATGATTACGTTTTTTTTTACGAAAAATGGTGGCCATTTTGAAATTCAGTGGCCATCTTGAAAATATTTTCTTGAGTAGAACTTGTTTGTCTCTAGGCATCAGCATATAGAATTAGAACTAAACCCATCAACTGGTATTTGAGTTATCAAAGGTTACGTTCTTTTACGAAAAATGGCGGCCATTTTGAAATTTAGCAGCCATCTTAAAAATCCCTTCTCGAGCAGAGCTCCTATGTCCCTAGGCATCAGCATGTAAAATTTGAACCAAATCCATTCGATGGTATTTGAGTTATCAAGCATAACGTTTTTTCACGAAAAATGGCCGCCATTTTGAAATATGGTGGCCATCTTGAAAATGTCTTCTTGAGCAAGGCTCCTTTGTACCCAGGCAACAGCATATAAAATCTGAAGCAAATCCATCCACTAGTATTTGAGTTATCAAAGATTGTATTTTTTCCGAAAAATGGCCGCCATTTTTAAATATGGCGGCCATCTTGAAAATGTCTTCTTGGGCAAGGCTCCTTTGTACTCAGGCAACAGCATACAAAATTTAAACCAAATCCATCCACTAGTATTTGAGTTATCAAAGATTATATTTTTTCGGAAAAATGGCCGCCATTTTGGATTTAGCGGCCATATTGAAAATTCCTTCTCGAGCAGAGGTCCTACACCCATAAGGCATAAGCCTATAAAATTTGAATGAAATCCGTCAACCGGTATTTGAGTTATTCCCCGGACACACGAACGGACGGACGGACGAACGGACGGACGAACGGACAGACGGACGGACGGCTTTTCTATATCCCCCTCGAACTTCGTTCGGTGGGATAATAAACTAAACTAGTTAAAAGCATTATACTGACCATTTGGTGCAAATTTCATCTAAATCTGAGCAATAATGACAAAGTTAGGGACCAAACACTGAAAATAGCTCCGAAAAGTGGGCATAGCAACACGTTATCGGATTAAGAATTGCCAACTCAATATTTCCTGATTGCATTATCCATCACCTTACATTCTGTGTGAATTTCATCTAAATCTAAGCAATAATGACAGAGATAGGGGCCATATACTGAAAAGAGCCCCTAAAAGTGGGCGTGGCATATTTACTTGGTTACCATAGCAACGCTGTCGCGGATTCAGAATTGCCAACATCATTTTTCTTGGTAAGTATCACGTATAGTTCATGAAAATATATGTCGCTTATCTCGCCTCTAAAAAGGACGTGGAATGACCTTTGCTCACATACTAAAGGAGCACGTAGGTTATTGCAAACAATTTCAAACGATTCTAACTTGAATTATGACTATTTTCTGATCATGAACATGTGTGTATCTTTAAGATCCATTCATTATCTTCAAGAAAAGTATATATATTGATAATTTAGTTAATCAGACCTAAGTAATATTGAAGGGGCAATGGGCCAATCAACATACTTTTTCAAAAATGTTGACCTAATTTTCACCAAAAATGCAACCTTTTATTATATTGTTGAATGCATAATTAGAATGTGCTTTGAGACATGTTTGATTTCCTAAAAGTAAAAGTTGATTGCTCCAGGGACTTTACAGATACTGAATTTGAATGACCAAAATGAACTGAAACCAATGGATAGCATGAGATTTTTCAATGGAGAAATAACATGGGGAACATTTATCTTAAAGCAATTAAGTTTTTCTTTCAAGAACTATTTGATACATCAAAATAGAGAATAGTAATGCATTAAACATTGTAAAAATTGATTGCATTTTTGGTGAAAATGGGGTCAACATCTTTGAAAAAGTGTGTTGATGGGTTGATTGCAAGTTAAATATCTCCTAGTTTGTTTGACTTTATTATTACTGTATATAATTTTCTTTGAGATAATGAATTGATCTAAAAGATAAACCTGTCTTCATTGTCAGAAAATAGTCATAATCCAAGATATAACCTTCTGAAATTGTTTGCGATAACCTACGTGCTCCTTTGGAAAATCAAATTTTATCACTTTAATGTGAATCTATGATGGAATTTTATTATGTAAAAGGGATGTATATGTTATAAATTGGGTTTTGACGGATTTTGTTCATCAGTCTATGGAATACTGAATTTGGATTTTTCTTAAAATGGTTAAAGTCCTGTTTTTTGTAAAAAGTGATTAAAACTGCTGATGGTGATGGTTTGTGTTTTTCAAAAGTTTACGCTTCCACACAAGAGACTGAGTTTTCTAGGTCTAATATTCGCTAATGGATTGAATAAACGTTTCAAACTACCATATATGTTTACGGTAAAACCTGTGGTTTTTAGATTTGATACTTTATGTCATATTCATGTGAGGAAAGGCAGGGAATCAGAATGAATGCTATTAAAGACGGGAAATTATATTTTTGTACTTGGCATTTAGGGTTAGCGTCAATCAGTGAAGGCTAATTATTTTAATCAATACGCAGCATTAGTATTTTTCCTCGCGATTTCTCTCATTTAATTCAAAATGATGAATGTGATGAATTTCGAACTTCTGGTCAATATTTTCGAAATGAAAAGTTTAAAAATATTTTTGTTTCATTAATTATTGTGTCTATTTAACTTATTTTGTAAAAATATGTTGTATGAACGTTAACAACACCATCAACTATCAAAACCATCACATTTGGAGAAGAATAGCGTAGTAAACTCGCTCAGTGCACATCTAGGGTTAATCTGATAGATCGTATAAACACCGATTTAGTTTTAATCGAAAAGAACTATTTATAGTCCTTGAAAATGCTCAGATTGCACCAAATAATGTCTTCAAAAAAAATTTCCCAAGGGAACATGCCCCCGGACTCCCAAATTGCTCGCCCATCAGCCACGTCCATATTTCCTGCGCCACCTATATTTTCTGGAAAACGCACCCCCCCCCCTTTCAAATATGATCCGATGCCCCTGTATTACTCTATCTCTATGAAACTTTGCTAAAGTACCCACCTTCTACTGGCAATTCTAGAGCTGTTTCTGCCCATGCCCATACATTTCTCTAGGTGTGGAGCAAATCTTGAAGCAGCCAAGTTCCTACTACAGTTAGGACATATGCACTCTAACTGCTTTTTCTGGGGCAGCTGACCAAAAACATCTAGGCCTACCTGGTCTACAATACCTACAATGGAACAGTGGACAGGTTGAGGTATCAATATGAATGTGAATGCATGTGGAACAAAAAAGTGTGAACTAGAAGTAAATTCGATGTAAACTCAATGCAAAATAAGGTGTACACAGTTGCTCTGAGGCCCAGGAATATGTTTAAAATGTTTGAAAAGTCCCCTAGTGTACTGAGTTGGTAATGTGTGGTGTATACATGTATATTAATAGAGAGGTAGTTCACTTCGATAGTGTTCTACACGAGAAAATCCAGGGGTCACTATGTTCATATCAGTGTATCTTGGTACATACAGCATATGTTTCTTTAACATTACAGGAAACCCTCGTCAACATATAAAACTTAATAATTAAACAAAGAAATAAGAACAGTTTATCACAACAACCGACGTATAAGGTAAATTGTTATGAACAACCGAAGTCTGCCAGGACACTTTGGATGATTACTAAGAGATGAAGGCGGAACTGCATTTTGATTGGTTGTTCATTTTGGATTTGAAAGTTCCATTTTAGGTATTTTTAGTTGTAAATAAATTCTGAAATAATATGTTTATGTTTTTTTGTATTTTTAGATATGATTGAATAATAAAGGGGTCTTCAATATTTATTTTTCATTTAATTACACTGTGATGCTACGTAATTTCCCGGGAAATGAAATTGGGATTTTACCCTCATTTTCTGCAAATGTGTCAATCTTTTTTAACCTAATTGACAATCCCTGGTAT